ACCAACTAATTGGAGTAAATGGTTGTCCTAAGTAGAATGGTGGTATAATACCAACTTCCACACTGTTTTGGGAATAAATCCATTCACAGCCCTCTATGGGTACATTTCTCCTACTATGACATGATCAACAGAAGCAAAAGTGGCAGATGTACAAAAATGGTTGCAGGAAAGAGATAACATGAATACAATCCTACAGGATCAGCTTGACAAAGCACAACAACGTATGAAGCATTATGCAAACAAAAAGGGAAGTGACAGAGTATTATAGGTGGGAGATGAATTTTACCTTAAATTATAGCCATATAGGTAGACATCAATGACATTAAGGAGAAACCTCCAGCTGTCAGCCATGTACTATGGACCCTACAAAGTCACAGAAAAAATAGGGTCAATGGCTTACAAATTACAACTGCCTGACAAATCGAAAATACACCCTGTTTTTCACATTAGCCTATTGAAAAAGAAAATTAGAGATAAAGAAGGGACCTCTCAAGATCCAACAGAGGTTAATACTGAAGGACAATTTTGTGTTTATCCTCATCTGGTATTAGACAAATGCATAGTGAAAAGAGACAGGAAATCAATTACTCAATTGTTAATTCAGTGGGTCAATTTGGGAACGGAGAATGCTACCTGGTTGGATTTTAATGTCCTGAAATCGTAGTTCCCTGACTTCGATCCTTGGGGACAAGCATTGACTGAAGGGGGTATTATCATGGCCTTGGACGAAAAATTAGAAATGGGGAAAGAGAAATTAGGGATTAGTGATGAGAAAATAGGGGAGTTGAGAAAGGAATTAGGGATTTCGAATTTACCTGATACTTTACATGATAATAGCGTGGGCAGATTAGGAGGGATAATGGTAACTGGACTGAGGATGGCAACTGGGCTGAAGAAGTCAGTAGATAAGGATAAGGCGAGCCATAGCTGAGCTGGACAGGGAACGGTTATATTGTTAGAAGGAATATACCAGTTGTTAATAAATAATTGGATAAGCTGAGTAATATATAGAATGTAATGGGAAAAACGAGATTATAAATGAAAATATTCAGACTTTCTTTTTGTAAACCTACATTTCTTCTCTACTTCTTCAACCTTTTCTCACCATTTCAGGTGTAGACCTGACATAGACAACCAACTCAAGGAAGGCGATTTTCCAAAAAAATCACATTTTCTTTAAATATTTATGGAAAGATGTGGCTCATCCACTGTGCCTTACGTCACGTGTTGAAAGGCGCGACCCATACACCGCGTCTTACGCAATGTGTAAAAATCAGGTGTTAGGTTCGTAACTTTTTTTAAAATGTGTCTAATATGTATATATTTTATGTTAGGGTGATTTTTATGTAAAAACGTCAACTTTTTATTTATTTTGTTTTAAAAAAAACTTTCTGAATTAAATCTTTAAATATTCTTTTACAAATTATTTTATAACTCGACAAATTTTGATTTTTACATGAAATTACATAATACATATAATATAGTATAGGAAAACTTTGAGGGTAAGTAATTTAAAATATGAATAATTTTATAAAAGTTTTATAATTTTATTAAAGTTTTATAACTAGTATTTCTTTTACAAAATAATGATGATGACGATGATGATAAGAAATATTTTATAATTTAAAAACTTATAAATTTCATATATTTTTGAAAAATTTATTGATTTTTAAAATTAATTGTTTAAAAATATAAAAAATATTAAAATAAACTTTTAATTAGAATTGTGTATCAAATGAATTATTATTCATTAATTATTATTTTTAACAATAATTAATAATGTTTATTCATTTTTAATAAAATTAGAACTGTGGGATCAAATAAACTTTTAATTATAACTACGAGATCAAATAAACTTTTAATTATACAATTGCGGGATCAAATGAATTATTATTCATTCGTTATTAAAAATGAATAAAAATTATTAAATGTTGTTAAAAATAATAAATATTGAATAATAATTCATTTGATCCTGCAATTGTAATTAAAAGTTTATTTTAATATTTTTTATATTTTTAAAAAATTAATTTTAAAAGTCAATAAATTTTTCAAAAATATATTAATTTTATTATTTTTAAATTATAAAATATTTCTTATCATCATCATCATTTTGTAAAAGAAATACTAGTTATAAAACTTTTATAAAATTATTTATATTTTAAATTACTTACCCTCAAAATTTTCATATACTATATTATACGTATTGAGTAATTTCATACAAAAATCAAAATTTGTCGAGTTATAAAATAATTTGCAAAAGAAGATTTAAAGATTTTAATACATATTTTTACACAAATAAAAAATAGGCGTTTTTACACAAAAATTACCCTAACAGAAAATATTTCCATATTAGGCACCATTTTAAAAATATTTACGAAACTAGCACCTAATTTTTACACGTGGCATAAGACGCGGTGCATGGGTCGTGCCTTTCTGCAAATAGTGTTAAATCCGGAATATTATCTCAAAAGGTGTCTGACACGTAAATATTTATAGAAAAAATAATTTTCCGGGAAAATCGCCCTCAAGGAAGTGGTCTATTTATATGAAATCTCATCTGGCTAAAAGTTAATTATGATAAGTTCGTTATTTTCTTTAATATAAATACGGTTTTTCAACATAGTCAACATCATGGACGAAGATCTCTTAGGGCAAGGGGTTGCCTGTTAAAATTTATATATTCGATATAATTTAATTTATTAGTATTTTGATTTATGTAAAAATATATATATTTAAATTTAAAAAATATAAAAATTTATTAAATATTTAATCAAGTAGGGATCGAACTAAAGAATGATATATTTGTGTTCTCAAATTTTTGGTCTAATTACAATTTAAGTCATTGTAAGTTTAAATATCAGACAAATTAAAAGTTGTCTTTTGAGTATTGAGTTTTGATTTTTTTTATTTAGGGTGAATACAATGTAATATTTGTACAAAGACTTTCAACTATTTGACAATGAACGCTCATACCCCTACATACGTGGTTGAACTCGGGACCTCAAGGATACCAATAATCCCTTAATCACTAAGGTCGCTTGGTCATGATGAATTTCGAGTTTAAATAATTAATAAATCTTTATATTTTTTTAAATAATCTAATATTTTGGCCCCGTAAATATTTAATTATTTATATATACCTTATCAACATAATTAGTATTTTGGGCATAGCGAAGTTGCTGAGCTCGACCACTACCTATATGTGCTTCTGCGTATTGGTAAAATAAATCAAACACTTTTGGCTTTCTTAGAGACAAAGTCCTTACCAAAATGACAGGATGGACTAATAATCTTCTATCCTATGGAGAGAGAGATATTCATCACAGATTCACAGTCTTTGCCCAAGCATTGTCGCAGTATGTTATGTTTCGCTATTTGCTACAAGAGTGCCTGCTTAATGATCTGGTGAATGGTTGAAAGTAATTTTACAGTTCTGTGGACGGGAAAGACGACACAACGGGGATGGCCATTGGTAGAGTGGAAGAAAATTTGCCCGCCCAAACGTGTAGGAGGACTAGGGTTTTGGGATCTCCACAACCTTAATTTGGCTATGCTTGGAAACAAGTTTGGCGATTGATATAGAAAACTGAGAGCCTTTTTGCTCGAGTATTACATGCAAAATTATCCATCAGTGGACTTGCCATATGCGAAGCGAGGAGAGAAAGCATCATACGCCTAGAAAAGTATTTACATTGCCATGACTGAGCTTAATGAGGATGGATTCTTTTGGAGAGTTGGTATATATAGATAGCAGAACTCATATGCATGGCGACACTTCCGAAGGCTTCTCGATTGTTAGATTTTTAATACTATATGTCGATAACTCTGTTCGTCCAATATTGTGTTATGAGTTCATGCAACCTGGCCAACCTCTGTAGGATGAACAACTTACGTAGTGTGCTTAATTCAATGGATGTTGATAAGTGTGCTCCATATATCGCCCCATGCATATATGATGTTATTATACGGGGTCATGACACATGCAGACATTTGGTTAGATCGAACTATAACTGGATTTATTGACCTCTTTATGACTCTAAATGTCCTTCAAAAATGTGGAGAGTACTAGCTAAGTTGAAAGTGTTATCTAAAGTTAAAAATATTTGCATGGCGTGTAGCACACAATGCTCTTCAGGTGGGGAGTAGGCTGCTTGCAACTGGACAAGTCTAGAGTGGCTGTTCGATGTTCCAGAGAGAGGAAGAAAAAGTTTTACTTTTACATGCCCTTTGTAGCTGCGTGCGATTGTGCGAGGCTTTTCAAATGGCTTATCTTTCAGTTTTAGAATGGTTGACTGACTCTATAGACGACTCCCTTTAGCTTGGTTAGAAGCCGCGCTAGATATCCTTGATTTTGATGATTTTATAGGATTCTTTGTGTTATTCTGAAACCTTTGGAACATACGCAATTCAAATATGCATGGGAATGATTTCCAGCCAACATGGGTGATCGTTACTAATGCACAGGTCCTTCATCGAGATTTTCTAGGGGTAATGTAGGAGCTCAAGGTGCAAGCAAGAAAAACTGGAAACCCTACAGTATATGATGATGCCCTTCCCCGATGGACGAAATCACTAGTTGGAATGATCAAAATCAATATGGATGGTGCATTTGCCCCTATTACTAGAACTGTAGCAATTGGTGTGATCGTGAGGGGCCATAATGGCGTGGTGATTGGTGGAATGGCTCACCTCTTTAGGCTGTCGAAAGACGTGATTAGCAAAAAATCCATACAATAATCATGAGACTTTAGTTAGTACGCGAGCGTGATTGGCAACATGTATGTTTGGAGACTGACTTGGGGATGGTTGTTAACACCTTAAGCCAATGACCACAAAGTGATCAAAATAAAGATCGAAATAAAAGTGATCAGAATGAAATTTTACTAAAATAAGTAACTAAAATAAGATATATTAGAAGAACCATTTCTGTAATTTACCCCAAAATTGAAGCACGCGTTAAGTTTATAAGCTTCCCAGGACTTTCCGATTCGGTTTCCTGTCTCCGTCTCTTAACAGTCAACGAACCACCTTAGCTTTCTCAAGAGTTTTAAGACACAAAGAACCCCACCAGTTTCTGAACTAGCACGGCAACGATGAGGCTTTCGAAACCGGTTTTCATGTTCGTCTCGTTACTGTTTATTGTGGCTCTATCGGGTTTCGCCCATGGATTCGTGATGACGCCTCGCACTTTGCTTGATCGCTTGTCTGAAAGCAGCTATTATTTGACCACTAGAGAGCTCTGGTTCGACCAGACTCTCGATCACTATTCTCCTTACGTAATTCTCCCATTCCCTTTTTTAATACCTTTTATTTCCATTCAAAGTTTGATTTGTTTATTCCCAAGTTTGCGTCTTTTTATTCATCCATTAAGATTCATCAATTTTATGGAAAATTAGGTTAACTTTCTATTTTCTCTTTACTTAATATTGGGGTTTTTTTGGCAGGACCACCGGCAATTTAAACAGCGTTACTATGAATTCCTTGACTACTTTCAAGTTCCGGATGGACCTATTTTCTTAAAGATTTGTGGAGAATCTTCGTGCAGTGGCATAAGCAATGACTACATCAGTGTAAATTCTACTATTTCTTTTCAAACCCAAAACTTATTGTACAGTGAGAACGAATTTAATTTTGGAAGAAGTAAGAACCTGTCTTAATGTTATTGTATTGTATATTTTCTGTTATGATTTTCAGGTTTTGGCAAAGAAGTTTGGGGCAGCTGTGGTTTCACTTGAGCATCGTTACTATGGGAAAAGCAGCCCTTTTAAGTCACATTCGACGGGAAATCTGAAGTATCTTTCATCTAAGCAGGCTCTCTTTGACTTGGCTGCTTTTCGTCAATGGTATCAGGTAAAGTTCTTCATTGTTTTTATTAGATGAACTTAACTCAATGTTATCACTGAGAAGAAAACTAATGGTGCTTCTCTTTTTGCAGGAATCCTTAAACTTGAAGCAAAATAGACCAGGTGCTGACAATTCATGGTTTGTTTTTGGTATTTCGTACTCCGGTGCTCTTAGTGCTTGGTTTCGTCATAAGTTTCCTCATTTAACATGTGGAAGCCTGGCAAGTTCTGCTGTTGTTCTTGCTGTTTACAACTACACTGAATTTGATAAGCAGGTAAGAAATGAATGCTCCTCTTCATCTTACTCCTTCTAAGGTTCTATTTTTCTATTCAGCTGTTACCTGATTAATCATAAATTTCCCAAAGTACTTGCAAACTAGTTCAGGTTAGGATGAAAATTTGCAACTATTGTTCTTTGAATGATAGACATTGGAATAAAGAGATATAATTATCATACTTTGCTTAAAATTACTTAATATTTAGGAAAGCCGGAGGTGGAAATTTTATGAGATTGAGTGGTTGAAGCGAGTTCATCTTGTACTTATCTGTTTGTACACTGAAGTTTTTCTTTTCTTTTATTTTTGTTTTCATATCCTCAATATATGCTCCCCTCAATTCTAGATTTTCCCATCACCTTTCCTTGTGCAGGTTGGTGAGTCAGCTGGTCCTGAATGCAAAGCTGTGTTGCAAGAAATTACAGAACTCGTTGATCGAAGTCTTGAATCAAATGGAAAGGAACTGAGGAAACAATTTGGCGCAACCGAGGTTGAATCTACTTTCATTTTATTTCTTCATTGCCGAAACCCTCAACATAAATTGCAATGTGATGGGTTTCTACGAAATCGTCATCTCTTGATACTGATGCCAACAATTTGTTTATGTTTCTAGCTTGAGATTGATGGTGATTTCCTCTATTTCCTGGCAGATGCAGCTGTTGTTGCGGTAGATTTGCTTTCTGTTATTGTCCTCTCACTCTATTACTTTTCCTCAGCAGTAATCTGAATGTCCATAAATTTGCAGTTTCAATATGGAAATCCGGATGTATTATGCACCCCTCTTGTTGAAGCAAAAAAGGCTGGAGAGAATTTGGTGGTATGTTTGATTTACGCATTACGCACTTTTATGGTTTCTGAGAGTATCGTTTGTGGACAATCATTTCCCATACCTTGCAGGCTGCCTATGCCAAATATGTCAAAGATTATTATGTTGGAACTTTTGGTGTCATTGTTGAAACTTATAATCAGAATCACTTGAAGAACACCACTGTTAGCGAAAATGATTCTGATCGGCTATGGTGGTTCCAAGTGTGTACTGAAGTTGCATATTTCCAGGTGGCACCCTCAAACGATAGTATCCGCTCCTCAAAAGTTGATACAAAGTATGTTTCTGAATATCACACTGTATAATCGATACTATGAGTGCCTTCTGTGTCTTTCTGTTATCTGTGCTTTTGTCAGATTGCAAATGCATATAGTGAGTGTTCTTTTTCCTTTTTTATGTTTATTCAGTGCATCCGGCCATACAAATTCATTTCTTGTACTGCAGATACCACTTGGATCTTTGCAAGAACGTCTTTGGAGAGGGCATCTACCCAGAGGTTGATGTGACAAACACGTACTATGGAGGCACAAAAATTGCAGGTTATGTCATAATCTTTCTTGTTTTCTGCCTTTCTTCCACGTGAATTTTCCAATGCTTTTACAAGAACTTTTCTTGTATGCTTCTTGCATTAAAGACTTCATTCTTTCGCCTTTATGGTTAATCCCCGCGTATTGGTAATTGTTGATCTGTAACTGATCTGTTACTTGTAGCTGTCTAGCAAATAATTTTCCCCTCTTACACGCACCACACCTTCAGACACCTACACACAGGTTTGCTTGTAACTGTCTTGTATACTACGTCCATGCCATCAAAGAGGGGTGCAGTGTGCAGATTTTGCACATATGCAAGAAATGGCGTATTATGTACCTAGATGTTCTTATAGACACAATAACTTTGTGTAAAATATCATTTCTTTGATTTCATTTCAAGAAATGGATCGCCTATCTGGCTATTTCTGTAGATTGAAGCCTTCTGTTCGTTCATTCATTTCCAGCTACTATCTTTGGGTTTACATATATGTTATACATGAAAGACAGGGTGCTTGTTTCTCAAAGGGAAAAATTATTTTTGTATTACCCTGAAGTCGAGAAAGATGAACATTTCTTTAGCATTAAAGGGCTAAATTATTTGCTTGATTAAAATGATGGGTCATTCTTTTGTTGCTTAAATTTTCATGCTTCTACGATTGCTGTCAATAAACATACACTATAGTTTACTTGTTCTTACAAAAATATGAATTTACAGGTTCAAAAATCGTTTTTACAAATGGCTCACAGGATCCATGGCGCCATGCATCCAAACAAACGTCATCTCCAGACAGTAAGCATCCAATATCATTACCAATTACTTTGTTGAATATGCATATTCCAAATTAAAAGAAGAGACTTCATAGGAAGCTCTCTGCTGCTATTTGCTCCACTTGGCAATGTGGATCTTCTAGCATCAGACAACTAGATGTCTATTAGGCTACGCCTTGATGATAGCGAGGCCTAGGAACTCTTTTAAATGGTGAATAAACGAATATTTATTTTCTTTAGTTTGTGAGGATATCTAGAAAATGGTAATGGCTTGTTAGTGTTGTTCAATGATTTGCTTCCTGGAATTCACCTTTTTATTATATTTCACTCTCTTTGAACTTTGGAACATTTCAGTGCCTTCTTACATTATTACTTGTCATAATTGTGGCCATGGAACTGATATGCGAGGATGTCCCCAATCTCCTTTAAGAATTGAAGGTAAGAACTGTTTATTTCTAATGGCGTCTGAGCTGTTTTGAAAAACATAGTAACTTGCAAGTTTTAAGCACATTGTCGATTATGTGTTTGCTTGGCATAGAACTTGCAAGCATTGTCAGGAAATCTATGATTGCTTGCCGATTCTTTTCTTGTGCATTCTCTTAAGTTGTGATGCTCGTGTTTCAGGTAATGCTCAGAACTGCAGTTCCCCTGATGCAGTTAACAAAGTGAGGCAGAAGATGATAGAACATATGGACTTGTGGTTGTCCGAGTGCAAGGGCACGGGTAGGAGTTACATGTAAACTGTGATGCATAAACTAAAGCCAAGACGTGTAAAGATTCAAACCGATAAATATCCTTGGTCTTTTGTATTTGACCCTGTGAACAGATGTTTAGGTGGTCCTTAGACCAGGCATTGCCAGTATGTACTCGTCCATAACACATACTTAGTCACTTATCTCTTTTCTTCTCCCCTTTCATGTTGTAACATTCAAAATGTCCGGTCTCTTTGCCTTGAAAACATTTTAGAAAATCATAGATGAAGGCAATAAGGTAAAATCATAGTGTGCTCTTTAGGTTAAATTTCAATTGCATGTAATTTATGAAGATTTTTATGATAGACGATATGAACAAGAAAAAAAAAGTGTGTTGTCACTTGGGACAATTTATATTTAGACGATATAAATTATGTTATTAACGGATATTAGATATATATTTATAATGTTGTAACATTATTTATGTGATTTGCCTTGGTGATGAGTGCTTTAGGTAAGCCCGTAAGTTTGAATCCCATTAATTCCTTCTTATTTCTTGTTTTTAATTGATATGAGGTTTACCCCAATTGCGAAGGTTGTTGTAGGTTATGTTTTGGCCCCTGTTCGATTCCTCCGGGCTACAACTTCCCTTCATATTGCTTTCCTTTTAAAGCATGCGGTGTGTGTTCAATCAGTCAGTTCGGTCAACCGAACTAAATTAGTAAAATATCATCAGTTGATTTTATTTTATCTTTTAAATGTTAATCGAATCAATTTTTTTTTGAAATTTTTTTAATCGAACCGAACAAAGTTCTGTTAATTCGGTCGGTTAATCGAATTAACCAAAATTTTAAATAATATATATTCTATATTAATTATTTTGAAAATTTTAAAATACCACGGAAAATCATCTCGGCTTGAGCAATAACATCTAATCTATCGAATAAGCTAAACTCTTAATAGTCTTTGAAATCCTATCTTAGTTTCTCTCGAACACTAAAGTTTGATTAGGTTCTAGTTATTAGCTAAAACCCATTGCTCACGTTGATCACCCCTTAGTTTCTCTCGAACACTAAGGATCTTTAACATAGTTTCTCTCGAACACTAAGTAATATACTTAAGAAATAGACACTCTTTTGCCTCCTACAATCCTAAGTAATTTATCACAATGAGCAAAACAAATAGATGAACATAAAAACCTAAATCATTCATTAAAACAAAAACTTAATCATCCATGAGAAACCCACACCAAATAAAGTTTAGTTCATGTTGGCATTCGAAATATCCAAGTGAATAAATCGTTCCATACAACCCAAGTAAACCGAAAGAAAATAAAGCATAAGGGTAGAGGAAACTCCCAACGCGTGCTGACGGTTGCTCCTCGGACCACCACGAACTGCACCTTAGTGGGCTAGCTCCTCTCGGACGTCTAGCTCGCCACTTCCTCGAGCTTGGCTATGGAGGAACCCTTTGAAAAGATGAAAGGGGAAAGAAAGTTGAGAATTTCAGCCACCTATTGCTTAACTCACTATTTCCCTAAATCAATTCCCTCATCATTTTTGCGGCCACTTTTTCTATTTATACTAGGAGAATATCCTAGATTTTAGAGCAAAAAATTCCCATAGTACCCTAAGGTACATTCCCCTTACGTGAAAATGGGTGCAAAAGTAGATGTGGTCCCCTCCAAGGTGGTTAGCAGCACACAACATGTGATTGTTGGACACCTGGCAGCTCCCATAAAAATATCTTCTTCGTTTTTGTCTTTTTCTATGTACATGAGTCATCACAAATTGCCTTGGCAATTCTCCTTTGCACACCATCTGGGAATGCTGCAAAAATTCTCCATGCTTACCCTTTACTTCATCAACCTACGCATTATCAGCAAAACACAACCTTCCTTGTAAAATAACACCATTTACAAAATAATTTGCCACGACAAATCTAAACCACCAAATACAATTATATGCTCCTAAATGCATCAATATGAATCTACATGCGCTCTAAGGTAACCAATAACTTAAGTGAAAAGGCCCTAAATATAACCTTTTTATGATGTTATCACACCCCAAACTTAAGATATTGTTTGTCCTCAAGCAATGGATAGTAGTTAGCAAAATGAAAATATCATGGAAAAGTTCAGTTTCAAGGCAGTCATGTGAGATAGAGTTTTGACCCTCAGAAATGTATTGACATCAATAGGTTGGACAAGTGGATATTTCAAGAATATTAGCCTAGGACAAGGTATTTTACGAGTGTTTGTGCGTGACTATATCCAATCTATGCTTAGTCAAGTTAGAAAAATTCTAAAGAAAGTATACTATTATGCCATAACATGTTTTTAAATTTAAGCACAAGTTCATTACTCCTATTTCCATTTAACTTAACTAAAATTATTTTTTTGAACATTGCTACGAGGGGAGTCAACCTATCACAACTACCATCCTATACTCTAGATGAATGTGAGCATACCTTCTATCCCCGTGCTAGTCAGGTAGAGTCATCCCGTGACTACTTTCATTCACTCGTATGCCTATGGCCGCCATTTATTAAAATGCTGTATCCAGGCAATGCCATGGCAAAGAAGAGTGTCCCTCTACAATCATACCGAAACATTTATTCACAATTAACCACACTTAACAAGCATAAGAGAGTTTAATTTAAGCAATTAACAAGCATAAGAGAGTTTAATTTAAGCAATTAAGTTCATTAAATTTTAAGGATGATAGTATGAGGTTAGTAATATTATATTTATATTTTTAATCAGTAGGATTTAACATGGAACGGTGGAATTAAGTGGATTTTCCATGTTAAAGTGGAATAGTGGAATTTAGTGACTAAATTGAATTTTTTGAAAATTGGAAGGGCAAGGATGGAAATTCATAAATGGTATTTTTATATCTATTTAATGTTAAAAATGGATATAAAAGGATGGTATGGAGGTAAATATCAAGATTCATTAAGTGTAAAATTGACTTTTAGGACTAAAATAAATTTTAAATTCATTTTAATTGGATTTTAAGCCATGTGTGCAAAGATTTTTGTGGATAAATTTCAAGAATTATTCCTACCCTTCAAGCTTGGGTTCTTTAAGGTGAGAAAATTCTTTTCATTTTTTGAGCCATTTTAATTAGATTTGGGACTAAGTTGTGAAATAGAATGTATTCCCCATTAAAGTTTCTTTCATTTGGTGTAAAAATCTCATGGTTTTTTTTTCTTTCTTGAAATGTTGAATTTATGAATATGGTGGATGAAGAAAAAGTTGTATTTTGGTGATTTAAAGGTTGAATTTGAAGTAGTCATTGTTACATAGTTGTTTTCAACCTTATGTAATGAATAAAACCATTAGAAATGGTTAGGAAGATTTGTTCACATTAGGTTTCATGAAGAATTGTTGATTTTGGATTGAATTTGATATGTAGTTGATTGGAATTGCATGGAATTGAAGTTAGGAGGTTGAATTCATGCTTGAATTAAAATGGAAATCATGTTCAAGACTACTACATAAATTCGACCATCAAGGAAAGAAAGGGAATTTTTGTAAAAATTTCCTATGGGTTAGAATTGATAATAAAATGATTCTACATGCTTTGGAAATTGGTTTGGACCATTTTGGGAATTTATGAAAGAGTAGGGACTATTTTGCATAAAGTGAAAATTGTAGGGATTGAAGTGGAAATGTTTGAAAGTTGTTGTATTATGCTGAAATTTAATGTTGTAATATTGAATTGGATAAATTTGGAAAGTTGTGTATGTTGGAGGACCATTTCATAAGTTTTGGTGAAGTTTGTGATAAAATGGTATAAGTGTATTGTTAAGGTACTAGTTTAAAAGTATTGTGATATTGGTTGGATATAGTGGTTAATATGGAATTTAAAGTGAATATAAAGGGACTATTTTTTATACTTCTAAAATATTGGGATATGCTTTAAAGAAAAACTTGTGAGATTATTAAATGTGAAATTGTGAAAAGTTGAGTAATTTATGTTAAGAATTATTATTTATAATGACTTGGAATGTTATATTGAAGGAGTTGAAGTTAGTTTCGATTATTTGAAATAAAATTAGTATCGAATATGTATTATCGTATTTTTAGAATTTTTATATGGACATGAGTTTATTACGTTTTTTATAGTACTAACATGTATTTGAAATTTTAAATGTCGGGTGAATAAAGTTTCGGGTAGGTCATGAGCAATATCGAGATCAAAGCTAGTAAAAAAAGGAAAGAACAAATTTCGAGAGTGAAAGTGATAGAATAAATAAAGCACACCAGTGAGGCAATAAGTGAATGCATTTTACTTATTTTATATACGATATGAGACGGCTTGCGATGAGTTAATCTCAAATGTTTTTCCAATGAAAACGATTTTAATTATTTTATGGTATATTTTTATATCGATTTATTTATTAAATGGGTTTTAAATGATTTTGGTTTGAATTACTCAATACACTTTTATATGGTATTTTATTGCATAATATATGAATGTTTTGGATATGAACTGCCCAATACATATTTTTATTTAGGCTTAAATATATAAAAGGTGCCTAACGTATGTTCTTTTTTTAGTTTAGTGCCTAACTTTTTTTGGTTCCAATTCGGTGCCTAACATTTCATTTCGTTACTTAAAATAGGCCACGCCGTGACAGACCGTTAATTTTCCGTTAAATGACACATGTCATAATCTGGTAATTTTAAAATTTAAAATTAAAAAAATTAAATTATATATCTAAAAAAAAGAAAACACAAATTTTTTTGAAATAACCCCAAAACTTTGAAAACTTTCATTTCAACCCATTAACCTTTAACCTCGTCACCGAACCACCCTTCTCTGACCGGTGGTGGTGTAAACCGTCGCTCCTACTGAACTCAGCAGCAACTGGTGACCTCAACCCGTCCCTCAGATCATCAGAAATCAATCGTCGTCGAGCTTAATCGCAAGGAAAACATTCGGTCGCCCACCTCCAACCTCGGACATACTAGTTAGGAGTCATCAACGCCTAGCCCAGTGGAAGAGTTGTCCCGGACCGATCATATCCCAGTCATCCACTCACCTTCAGTCGCTGTCGTTCGTGGTGGAGTGGCATTTGAAAGTCTGACGAAAAGCCCTCATCACCGTTAATTTTTTTGCGATTTCCTGTAGAAACCGCCGCCTTTCCACCTCACTGCCACTGAAGCTGAGCTCGCCGG